TTAAAAGAATATATTAAAATTACTATATACGCAAGTGAACATTACAAATATAGTATATCACACCAACTATACGTGATAAGTGGAATTTTCTATAAAAATTTGGTGGTAGAAATGGAGATAAGTTAAGAACAAATTGCTTAAATACTATGGCTGCGTTTCTTTATACATTCCGGATAATCCCATTTCACAGCCGGAATAAACAGAATGCGTTTGAAATATACGTCAACATATCATCAGGAACGTTCTAAAGAAGAAATAAACAAAAAAGTTTATTCCAAACGTTCAGAATGAATAAAGAAATGCAGCCTATTAGTAACTACATTGTGAGAAGGCCTCCCCCAACATCCTCACCAAGGTTCATGACGAAATTTCTTATACTTTCGCTGAAATCTCGAATGTTTCCATTTTGGATAGCCAACCCACAAACTTTAACAACAAATAACTTAAAACTTATAAGGATCCGGCAGCTAAAAACTATATATTTACAATTAGGAGAACTCCCCCTACCGTCCCATAGCTACCTTAATGCGTTACTTCGGGGATGCCAAACTAAATTGCAGCCAATATCTCACTAAAACAAAATATGTATTCATTTTTACTATTGGAGTACATATATGTAAATTGAATACTTTAAAGCCGTTTTTTACGAGTTTAGCTTTTTTGACTTATTGCATTGAAGTAAATGAGCGATATTTTTAATACTGGTTGAGATATTATAAAATAATGGCATACAAAACCGCGTATCAAGCTAATGTGAGGTTGACCAAATTTTACAGTAAAGCGTAAAAACTGTTTTATATCAAAACGGGTCTCAGGCTCAGGTTCAGGCTAGTTTTATAAAACGATATTTTGGTACGAATGGCTCAATTTTGATGCCAGTAGCTTCCGGTGGGCAAATCTCATTTTTAGCACATCAGTTACGCGATTTTGCAGAACCACGATATGTGGTTTTGTACTTCATACGACGACATGTTTACTTTATAAACACGGTGACCATTCGTACCGATTTTGGCGTTACAGTACCGATTTTGAGAAATTTGTCCCCCGGAATATGTTTTAAAATTCGGGAACGTATAGGTGTTCCGATTTTTCATATTTGTACCGATTAAATCCCGAGTTTCAGTGTTTTCTTTAATAAATTACAAGAGTCCCTGTACTCTGGCCTAAAAACCAGCAGTGGCAGCACTCGTTATTACAAAGAACAGAGTATATAAGGGAGCCATAAACATAGCCAGCATCTCTATTTTCAATGATCATTGGTTATGTTTTATTCTGTCAAACTGGTACTATCGCCATATTGCAATCTATCATTCTTGTCTAATGTTTCTTAAGGTTGTCATAATTATTTAAGTTTTTTTTTTATGAAACGATTTAACTTGAATTTAGTCAAATTATAGAAAATAATAAGAATTCCCTCGAAAAATGCTTGGATATGAAAAATATAAGCTGTAGATATATATTCAATAGACACGAATAAAAATGCGAGCTCAAAAGTTGACCGCCGAAAAAGACGCGTAAAAAAAGTTCGACGAAGAAAGACTCTTAGGGTCGGTTGCTCAAACCCTGGTTGACACTAATCATCGGTTACCATCGTTATCGACGCTTTCGACTCCATGCATATAACACGATGTCGGTAATGTCGATAACGATGTTTAACTGGGGATTAGAGTGAACCAGGCTTTGAGCAACCGGCCCATAACTTAGTTGATGGCGAAGAAAGACGCGCTATCATAACTGACGGCTAGAAAAGACGCGTAAACTTATTTTCGCGGTCAATTATGTTTGTGGGTGTAACAGTATACAAATTCCCCAAAGATCTTTTGGGAAAGATACTGAAGTAACAGTCCTTGGACCCGTATGAATCTATGTTTACGCGTCTTTCTTCTTCGTGAACTAGATTTACGCGTCTTGCTTCTCCGAAGTTTTTTTTATGAGCCTTTTTAGTAAATTTTTTTCCCGCGACGATATGTGCGATGTGTGTACAAATTTTGGGTATAATTTTTCAAGTTTTTTTTTCTTTATTTAGTTGTAAATAAAACTGTATTGAAAGATGTTATGTCTTTTTATTCTAAAAAAAAATGTATATTCGGATTGAATGCTTTAGCAATGTCCCGATTTTCGTCCACAGAAATCTGGTCACCGTACACACAAAACACAGAAAACGTCAAAAACTATGTATTTGTAATCACATGTTGATCATGTGCATGATTCAATCAGTGTTGCCAGTTTGCGGGATTTCGCCCTTTTTCGGGATTTTATGACTAAAAAGGGCGAATGGGATTTTCTGTCGAAAAACGGATTTTTTTGCATAGCATACAAAGTAAGAAAATTTAGTAATCGATAAATAAGAAAAAGCTGCTCTCTGTGGTAAATTAACGCCATTCATATGAACCCTATCATTGTGAATTGTAATAGCCATTTTGTTAGTTATACAGAAAGTAATTGTGGAAAAATAAAGTGATATAAGTTAGAAAAACGTGTGGGGAACTCGAGAAGTAGTGTGTTTTGAAAACATTGAAAAAATTTCCAATCATTGCTTGTTTTTTTTTTTGAAATGTTTTGAGTTTATAGATTCTGAAAAGTATTTTAAGTGATTGTATTCTTTGATAATGCAAATAGTAAAACTTGCGATTGGCAAACGTTTGGGACGTAGTCGTTAACAAAGAGGCAGTAAATAGTTCAATGGTTACTGACATCAAAACGAAAAAGAGAAATAGATTAAGCGAAAAAGCATTAAATATGTGCAGTCAAATCTAATTTACTTAACAGACAATCGATTTGTGCGACTTAGGGCCAGTTTTTCTGTGCTCGGCTGTGGTTTAAACATAGTTTAAACACCCGAGCTGGCTGGTTTAAACAAAGATTAGCCAATGAAATGTCAGCCATCTGATCAATTTAAACTCGAAAACGAATGGAATTTCTGTTTGTGTAAAATATGTAGGTATATAATGGCAGGTAAATTTGTATGGGAGATTTTTTCGACTATGCGCGTATTGCACATACATATGTGCAATTCTAAGCAACTTTGCGGAAGAAACCATGGCTCTAAAATCAATTTGGAATTTGTCCAATTGTGAAAATATGTTTTTTAGCACTTTGCTGAAGTATCGTAAAGAATTGCATAAATTTTGTACAAAAACATGCTGTAAGGGTTTTTTGGTATGCGGAATCCATTTCTGCACTTCTCCTTTTCTTAAAACTTCCACCAGAGGGCACAACAGTAAAAATTTCCACATTTTCTTCTAAACCTATTTTCGCAATATGGAAAACCCCTATTTGATTTTAGGCCGATGGTTTCTTCGGCAAAGTTGCGTTGAATTACAAGTAGAATCCTCTTATGCTATACGCGCATAGTAAAAAAAAATTTACCCACCCTAATGTATATAAATCCTATGTGTATTGCATATCTATGTACATTAGGGTGCTTTTTTGGCGACTATTGTTTTTCTCACTCCTATCTCGAAATTTTGTGTAAAACACATTAAAAAAAAACTCCCTGAAATTTTTAACCTTTAATATTAACGTTAAGTACACGCCCAAGGCGTGCAACGATTTCTTATATAAAATACACGTAAACTTTGATTTTTTTTTTAAAACTCTACAGCTCAGAAGCATTTGATGGTATAATCTTGGTCAATGATAGGTTTTCCATTGCGGCGTAATTCTTACTTCCACCAGCGTACTACACGGGTCACTAAACCCATTTTTTTTATGAAATTCTCGTTTTTTGCCCCTATTTCGTAAATGTAAACGAAAACTTGTAGGACATTCAATTTCTTACAAAAAAATTTCAGAACACTAAATCGCCAACATCGATGTTTCTTGAGATATTGGACTTTGAAATTGAGGTAGTGTGGAATTTTCACGGAGTAACTATTGAGCTGAATTGTAGAATTTGTTGATCAACTTCAAAGTCCAATATCTCAAGAAATATCGATGTTAGCGATTTGGTTTCATAGATTTTTTTTTGCAGGAAATTGAATGAACGAGAATTTCATGAAAAACTGGGGTTAGTGACCCGTACTAATTCGCTGGTGGGAGTAAGGACTACGCTGCAATGGACACTTTTGTAGAGCATTCAATTCTGAAGTAAACCCATCATTGACCAAGATTATACCATAAAATACCTCAGAGCCGTAGAGTTTTGAAAAAAAAAATTAAAGTTTACGAGTATTTAATATGAGAAATCTTTGCACGCCTTGTGCGAGTACTTAATGTTAATATTAAGGTTTAAAATTTTCAGGGAGATTTTTTTTAGGTTTTTTCCACAAAATTTCGAGGTAGGAGTGAAAAAAAACAATAGTCGCAAAAACAAGCACCCTAATTTACATACATACATACGAAAGCATTTTATGTCTATTATACATACAGCGCGAGATTTCTGTTATATCTTTAGTATAAAACGGGATTTACGTTGTATTTAGACGGGATTTCATTAACACAGTTACTGGCAACACTGGATTCAATAATTAAACGTTGGCTCATTATTGACATTAGAGTTTTGACACTCCCTTAAATCCCTTACAAAAGCTTTGCACACACACACGAACCCACACACAGTGTCTTGCTAAGGGAGCCGATTTTGTCAAGAGGGAGCGAGAAAACTATTTTTTGGGCAAACCTTTTATTATTGAATATAATAATCCATGGATAATATGGGCAAGCAAGACCTTATTTTAGATATTTTTTTTTTCAAAAAATGACAACAAAGTTTTGGTTTCCCTCTTGCTGGAGGGTAAACGTACTGTGTCAATTAACACACTATTGCAGAACGTGTGCGATATTATGCATGAACGTACTTATAAACTTGTTATAAAGCAGCTAAAGTCTTCTTTATTTTTTATGAATTTGGGTGTAATTTTATATAAGTTGAAAAGTTTTATGAAAATGTCACTTTATAGAGCTCTTTACATCCATTTTGTTTTTTATAAATAAGGCCATTAGCTTATAAATTGCGGACTAATATAAATTTTTGTGCCTAACTACTTATGTTCTTGCAGATTCCAAAGAGCTTTTAGATGCTCATGATCGTCAAAATGAAGAGACTAACATCGAAATGGCAGATGACACGATCACAAGGGAAGACGGCGACCGAACAAGTCGAATATCACCGCTTATGAGGGCAGGAAATGAAACAACTGTCAAAACTTCGAATGAGTCGAACTCTACCGAGTCATTTCAGATTTATAAAGAATCCGCAGAACGTTTAATCAAAGTAAATGTAGATCATGAGATGATTGAAGAACAAAGCGAAATGAATGTCGAGGCAACTTCTCTAGACTCAAACGACGAACGCCCTGTTAGCAACAGCCCACATAAGGACGAACTAACAGATAATGAAATAGAACCCGCACCCTCACCCACAATGCCGAAATTGCGGCTAAATGCGTTTCTGGCATCAGACCCGGCCTTGAAACCGGATGCACAAGACCTTAAAGCTTTACATGCAGAGACGCAAACGAAAAACATGCTTGCGCAATTTCCACCACCACCAGCACTGTCCGAACAGGAAGACATAGAAGCCTCGATAAATGCTCCTGTGGTTAGTTTGGCGGAACCGGTGCTTAAAGCGGCGACGGTTGACACAGTGACTGGTAGTCTCACTGCTTCCGCTAAAATCGCACCACGCTTGAAGTTGTTCATGTGTCTGCCATGTGGCATTCACTTCAGTTCACCATCAACGTTAGAAGCGCATCAGGCATACTATTGCTCACATCGGTAAGTACATAAATCGATTGCAGGGGTGGGATGCTTCGCATCTTAAGACAATATCGATTCACAATAGGCGATCTATATCTTTGTTGTAGCAATAAAGACATGGAAGCAAAGGGTGCTTCGATCTCTACGGTAGTAGCTGAGAAAACCACCGCCAACACGTCGAGTGGCACCAGCAGTGCTAGTATAAACAATTCTAACGATGAGCCAACAACTAAGGCCATAAAGACTGGAAAACAATATGCGTGCACACAATGCTCATACAGTGCCGACAAGAAAGTGTCCCTTAATAGACATATGCGTATGCACCAAACATCGCCAGCTCATAGCAGCAATGTTCTACCGCCAAACTGTGGAAATGCGCTGGACGAAAGTGGTTCTAGTCAAGTGAGTCAGTTGTTCGTCGACGACACCGAAACAATATTGTATCTACATACGTAGTTCACCCAAAAAATAACACAAGGCAACAGTGATTTTGTTGCGGCAAATGTAAAACCTGTTTTTGATAGACTTTTTTGTACTGACTACGAATCCGTAAGAACACAGTTTCCATCAGCTCCAGATTTTGAGAAAAACGAGGTAAAATTGTTAAAAAATCGTGTTTTTTGCAATATTTTAGAAGGTTTAGCAAAAAAGGAGTGTCCATTCACACTTTGCCAGTGTCACCAGTGTACCAGTATCGGGAGTCTTCGTCTCTGTCGTCAGTGTCGCCAGTGTCACCAATGTCGACAGTGCCGCCAGTGTCACCAGTGTACCAGTGTCGCCAGGTTCACCAGTGTACCAGTGTCACCACTGTACCAGTGTCGCCAGTGTCACCAGTGTCGCCAGCGTCGCCAGTGTCACCAATGTCGCCAGTGTACCAGTGTCACCAGTGTCGCCAGTGTCACCAGTGTCGCCAGTGTACTAGTGTCACTAGTTTCACCAGTGTACCAGTTTCACCAGTGTCGACAGTGCCGCCAGTGTCACCAGTGTCGACAGTGCCGCCACTGGTACGCTGGTGACACTGGCAAAGCCAAAGACTGTCGACTCTGGTACACTGATGACACTGGTAAAGCGCGAATAGACACTCTCTTAAATTAAACCTATAGCTCTCAGCTACTATCCCTGATAGAGCTGTAAAAGTAACGAAATTTCGGATACCCGTATGTATTCGTTACTAATCCAATCAACACCCATATCTTTCGTATCGTTACTTTACTCGTTACTTTTGATACAAGCACTTGTACCTCACAAGAATCATCGCAGCAAATCTTGCAGCGCACAGTGCCGCCTAAGTGGGCTTAAATCGAAAAATTCGTTATCTGCAATGTGAACTTGTCTGGTATTTTTGTAAAGACAATTTATCCACTAAAAATAATTAAATGGAGATTTCCCCAAAAAATTAATTATATACCGCCAAGAAGCCACTAAAGTCGACAGATTTTATACTAAGAATTTGAATAAAGCATACCCAGGCATAAGCTCTTCACAGAAAAAAATTTCAAAAATATATTCTTTGAAATAAAATGTTGGTTTGACGTTTCTTGTTTCCATATTTTTTTTTTTTTTTTT